CGCTCTCGGGGCGAGTCTGGTCGATCTTTCGGGGGCCGTCCTGGGGCCCGCGTCCGCCCGTCTTGGGACCACTCTGGGCCGTATTGGCGGGGAAGGGCGGCACGGCCAACCACACTGAAGCGCACAATGGTTGGGTTTCTCGGGGGGTCCTTCGGGCGCTACGGGAGCACTCGGGGCCGTCTGGTGGCCCTCTCGGTGCTTGTTGGAAGTATGTTGGAGGTTGCCTTACGTCTTGAACCATGTTGGGCTAGCTTGGGCCACGTTGGAGGCCATGTCGGAGCATCGGAAGCCCTCTTGGAGCCATCTTGCGCCACCTTGGACACTGCAACCCCTCGATGGTGGTCCAAGGAAGCTTCAGCGCGGGGAAGGCTGAGCTTGTTGGACCGCCTTAGCCTGCAGGGCTGGTGGGATTCGTATCCAGCCACGTGAGCCTGGATTAGCGTTTCACCCTGTGCACGACGAGCGATGAACAACCCTAGTTCTCCAGCTTCTCAGTTGCAGGGCGAACCAAGATGCATTGAGTTCTCGATGTTTGCGGCACTGCGCGGAATGGCACGATCGCGCCTCACATTTGGCGGAATTCAGACGTGCCTCAGAATTCATACCAGATGGTTTCAGTACTAACTTAGTGATTACAGGAACACCTGAGCATGGTCGAATCGGATGCTGAGGATAACGCAAATCGTCAGGGACGCCCCTGGCGACGACGTTGGCGGTGGCGGCGGCCGTGGCGGAAGTAAAGAAGAGGGCCGCGGTACGGCGGCGCCGGCGGCGGCGCGGCGATGACGGCGACGACGGCGGCGACGAGGGCGGCGGCATGCGTGACGACTGCGGCGACGGTAACGGCGACGGCGACGGCGACGGCGACGGCGACGGCGACGACGACGACGCCGACGGCGGCGGCGGCGGCCGCCGCGGCGGCCGTCCCGACGGCGGCGGTACGGCCGCCCTGGCGCTCGCGCCACAGGCCGCGGGCGAGGGTGCTGCCGCCGCCGCGCGGGCGGCGGGCGCGCTGGCGGCGGGCGCCGGTGCGGGCGGCGCGTCCCCCGCCCCGAAGCGAGGTGGCCCGCGCTGTCGCCGCCGCCGCGTTGGCCGTCGGCCGCCGCGTTGGCCGCCGTCGCCGCCGTCGCCGCCGTCGCCGTGTGACCGTCGTGGCCATCGCCGTCGGCGTCGTCGCCTCCGTGGCCGTCGCCGCCGCCGCCGTCGCCGTCGCCGTGGCCAAACCGCCGCCGTGGAACCCGCCGTCGCCGTTGTCGCCGTCGCCGCTGCCGTCGCCGTCCTCGTCGTCCGTTTTTCTGGTTCCTGCTCCTGCTCCTGATTCTCCTTCTTCCCCTCGCCCCCCTTTCCTATTTGCTTCCCCTTCCCTACAAGAGCGAGGGGGAAAAAGAGAGAGAGAGAGATAGCGAGAGAGAGAGAGGGAGAAAGAGAGACAGAAAGAGAGAGACAGTGAACAACAAAGAGGGAGGAGGAGGAGGACGAGGAGGAGGACGAGGAGGAGGACGAGGGGAGAAGAAGGAGCAGGATGAAGAGTAGCGGGAGAAGGGGATGGCAGGAGAGTGGTTGGCCGAATGGCAGGAGGGGGTAGGAGGAGGAAGGGGAGGAGGAAGGATGCGGAGGAAGAGGAGGAGGAGGAGGAGGAGGAGGAGGAGGCGGTGAATTTTGAGACAAAAAGAAGTTTAATCCCGTTTGGTCCTAGTTGCGCTCATCCCAGCCAATTCATATTCCAGCTTGGTCAGGCTCAATCCAGCCAAATAGTTCCTTTGAACCGAATCGGAATACATGTTCTTTATCCTAGACCGCTCCTCTGTGACCGTTCTGGAGCCCATGGATGACCGAAGACGGGGAGAGCAGCCAGGACCCCCTTCTTCACAAGGACCCGTCTCCTTCGTGCTCCAGTCCAGGCCTCCCAAATGGGACCAGAGCAGAAGGGTCCAGAGGATCGCGCCGCATCGCCGATGCGTCTCAGTGTCTAGCAACCCCCGCGGCCCCCGCACAAAAACAACAAGTGACGATCTTAGCTTGTGCTTGGAATGGCCCCGTCTTTTGGAGCGCTCCAGGTGACCGTTCGGCGACCACGCCGCCTCTTCATCAGACTGGCCTGAATACAGTCGACCCGCATAGTAAGGATAGGCATCCCTCCCAAGGGTATCCTTGCATCCTTGCATCCTGGATCCATCCTTGGACACTTTCGTTGGCCGCGCCCCGCTCGAAACGCTTCGAAATGGGCGTCCAAGGCCCTTGCATCCTTATCGCGCATCCTTACTATACGGGTTGACTGTAACATGCCCATGGCCCCCAGCACGCGCGCGCAGGCGCACCGAAGGGAGAGGAACGGAAGGCATACTGGCCGCCTGCGCCGCGCCGCTCGTGGGCGCCAGCGTATATCCGCATATCCGCGGCCTCGCGGGCCAGGCCCCTGGGCCGCGACGCCGCGGCTGCGGAGCGCTGCTTCCCGGATGCCCCGCGCGGAGCGCACCCCTGCGACGGTGTATCTGCGGCCTCGCGCTCCTCCTCCACCTCCTCCCCCTCCTCCTCCTCCTCCTCCTCCTCCGCCTCCGCCTCCTCCGCCTCCTCATCCTTCTCCTCCTCCGCCTCCTCCTCCTCCTCCGCCTCCTCCGCCTCCGCCTCCTCCTCCTTCTCCTCCTCCTCCTCCTCCTCCTCCGCCTCCTCGTGAGATCCCTTCCGAGGAGCCCGCGCCGGACACCGTGAGCAGCTGCGGGCGCCGCGCGTCCAGGCCGTCATCGGCCCAGGGGCGCGGCGGGCGGGGCCGCGGGCGGGCCCCCCGGCGCGCGCGCGCGCTGCATGCCCCGCCGGGCCGGGGCAGCCGGCGCCTGTCGCCCCCCGCCGCGGTGCCGCGGGGTGTCGCCGCCGCCGCGCTGCTGTTTCGGGGGTGGACAGACCTCCTACCCTGATACGTCGATTAAGGAATTGTCCCTTTTCGGTTCTCGAGAGGGCGCCGTGGCCGCTATTTTCCAGGCTTGCGCCCGCCAGGTTTGGGCCTCAGGTCGTTTTCTCTAAACCACGTTTTACTAAAGAGGGGTCTGTCCATCCCTTTTTTGCGCGTGGTTGTACTGCGAAGGCCCTGCGGCCAGTGCCGCCGACCCTGAAGGGGGACGACGACGACGACGAAACGACGACGACGACGACGACGACGACGGCGACGACACCGACGACACCGACGACGACGACGACGACGACGACGACGACGACGGCGTCGGCGGCGGCGACGACAACGACAAGGCGAGGGCGCGAAAAGCATGTCAAAGCCAAACGCAAATCAATGAGATTCGCCTGTTGGGCCCCCCGTGGGGGGGTCCTCTTGGAGCCATCTTAGGGCGCCTTGGGCAATTATGTGGATTGCGCTCCGTGTATTGGCAGAACGTCCGCAGATGCAGAAAATGTATGCTCTCATACCCCACACATAGTAACATACATCTATAACTACTTCAATTGTCCTCTGTGTATGTACATGTATACATGGCTACACCTATCTAACTATATATATATCTATATATCTATATATATATGTATACCTATATATCGATATGTGTGTATATCTATCTATCTATCTATCTATCTATCTATCTATATATATACATATGTCTACATATATATATATGTCTATCGATCTATATATTGATATATATATTTCTATATATCTACATGTCTATCTATATATATTTCTATATATCTATATATCTATATATATATCTATATATCTATATATCTATATGTCGATCTATCTATCTATCTATCTATCTATCTATCTATCTATATATGTCTATATATATACATATCTATCTATCTATATCTATCTATCTATCTATCTATCTATCTATCTATCTATATATCTATCTATCTATCTATCTATCTATCTATCTATCTATCTATCGATCTAGCTATCTATCTATCTATCTATATTTCTATATATATATATATATACATAAGCTGCTATATACGCATACGTCGGGTCTGCTTTGTTTCCGCTGTGGCGCCTAGAGGACTGGCCCCACCCTCCAAACCCGCCAGGCACCTCCCAGATTTTGCTGGATGGATGGACGAGCTGGCCTCGCCGTCCTCGGGTGTCGGACGCTGCGTGCTGTCGGCGCGGACGTTGCCGTCGTCGTCGTCGTCGTCGTCATCGTCGTAGTCTTCGTCGTCGTCGTTCTCGTCGTCGTCGTCGTCGTCGTCGTCGTCGTCGTCGTCGTCGTCGTCGTCGTCGTCACGTCGGACACTACAGGGGTCGACGGGGGGACGCGGCAGGGGTCCCTGGGGGGGGGCGTTGCGGGAGACCGCGGCAAAAACGCCGTCGTCGTCGTCGTCGTCACTGGCCTTGCCGATTGACCTCGGGCCCTCGCTGTGCGTCGGGGGAGTTGTGGCGGACTTCTGAGGCTTCCGGACGACGTCCAGAGGAGGAGGAGGAGGAGGAGGAGGAGGAGGAGGAGGGTTGGGCGTTGCGTAATGGGGGGTCATACATGGGGGGGTGGCGTGGGTGGTCCGAAAAGGTACCCAAACGGTACCTATATAAACGAGCCCCCTGGGGCTCCGGAGGGGCCCGAAAGGGGCACGACAGGGGACCGTGTCTGACCCCCTCATTTCTGACCCCCCCACTAAGCCATTCCCAAGAGGAGGAGGAGGAGGACGAGGAGGAGGAGAGGAGAGGAGGAGGAGGAGGAGGAGGAGAGAGAGGAGGAGGAGGAGGAAGAGGAGGAGGAGGAGGGAGGAGGAGGAGGAGAGAGAGGAGGAGAGGAGGAGGGAAGGAGAGGAGGAGGTGGAGGAGGATGAGGGGAGGAGGAGGAGGAGGAGGATGGAGGAGGAGGAGGAGGAGAGGAGGAGGAGGAGGGAGGAGGAGGAGGAGAGGAGAGAGGAGGAGGATGAGGGAGGAGGAGAGAGGGAGGAGGAGGAGGAGGAGGAGAGGAGGAGGAGGAGGGGTCGCCGCAGCCGCCGCAGCCGCCGTCGCGTGGCGCCGGGCGCGACGGGGGCGCGCTGTGCCCCGAGAGGCTCTGCCGGCGCTGCGGGCGGCTCGCCGCCGGCAGGGGGGATGGCCGACGCCGGGCGGGGGCTGCCGCTGGAGCCCCAGGCGACGGCGGCGGCGTCGGCGACGATGACGACGACGACGGCGACGACGACGGCGTCGACGACGACGGCGGCGACGACGACGGCGACGACGACGGCGACGACGACGACCATGCCATGACGACGACGACTCCGGTGATGACGACGACGACGACGACGACGACGACGACGACGACGACGACGACGACGACGACGACGACGACGACGACTGTGACGGCGACGACGGTGACGGCCATGGCGATGGCGACGGCGATGACATCGAGACTCGAGCAGGTTCTTCGGTCTTCTCGGCCTCCGGAGGTCCGTCGCGGGCCGCAGGGCTTTCAGAAGGTGATCCGGGATGGGAACATGCGCGCCGCGGCACTGCACGGATAGGGGGTTGCTGCGGAGCAAGCGTGCCCACGCGCGCTGAATTCCGCTCGAACACGCCCACTCAGGCCGCATGTGGACCACGGTGGAGCTTCATGTGAGGCACGACCAGCGTAAGGTATTTGCCTTGTTGTGCAGGGGGACGCCACGCGAAGTTGCCCATTGATGTCATAGGCGGAGCTCCTTCCGGAGCACGATTCGCGTGATGGGTGTGCCGAAGTGGGCGGGGGGACGATGTGGGAACCTTGTCTCTGGGGCTGTGGGTGGTGCTCTCCGTGTGACACTCTCTGTTCGGCATGATCCGTGTGATAAGTGTGCCGAAGTGAGCGGGGCGACGCTATGTGAACCTTTATCCTGGTGCCGCAAGTGCAGTTACCTGCTGGGCACGATCCGCGTGAGGGTGTGTCGCCATGCGAATCTTGTCTCTAAGGCCGTAGGCGGTACTCCTTGTGAGGGGCGTGCCGAGATGGTCCGGGGGACTATGTGAATCCTGTCTCTAGGGCCGTACGTGGAGCTCCCTGCAGGGCACGACTTGTGTGAAGGACATGCCGAAGTAGGGAAAACGCTGTTGCCATGTCTGCCCACGGTGGCGCAGATGTTCCCATGTGATGATCGTGGTGGGATGATGAGCGTGTCCATCCGTTTATTGGCATGACGCTGGCCTTGTCCTGTGCAAAATCGCCAGATCCTAGAGGCGCGCGAAACGCGCGCGTGGTTCTAGTTACAAATGTAGTGGATGTCGCCCCCTTGCCAACTTTGCCAGGCTTGTTGGAGTTAAACTGTTAAAGCAGGTGTTTATCCCCATGGCCTCTACCGATCTCGTTCAGCGTGTTTAATCGGCGGGTCCGCATACAGAACTCGAGGGCGACATGCAGAGCTGCAGCACCCAGCGGCGGTGCCAGCGCAGCGCCTTCGTCCGTCGGTGGGAGCCGGGGCGCAGGCCTGCAGGGTTACTGGATGGGGCAGCTTTTGGAAGACCTGCATGTCTGGGGGAACGCACAATGACATAGACATAAAAACTCGGAGGTCCGCGCGAATTTCTCGGATCCGCGCTGGAACCCCTTGGCGGCGCCTCCGGCGCCGCCCCTGGCGCGCTCCGCGCGCCAGGGAGGGGGGTCCAGCGCCGATCCGCGAAATCCGCGCGGACCTCCGCGCTTTTATGTTTATGTCATTGTTCGTTCCCCTAATATCTGCCACCGAAGGTGTCCAAACGCGCGGGAGTGCCTCCGGGGTCAGCGGCAGCGGCCCTCGGCGAGATTCCGGGCGAGTGGGCGCCAGAACAGTTGGGCCACGCGCGGAGGTGCGCTCGCAGGACACGCCCCTCGACGTGGCGGTAAGGACTGCACGCCCGTCTTGCGGAGCTCCTCCTCCTCCTCCTCCTTCTCCTCCTCCTCCTCCTCCTCTTCCTACCCCTCCTCTTCTTCCTCCTCCTCCTCCTCCTCCTGCCCCTCCTCCTCCTCATCCTCATCCTCCTCCTCCTCCTCCTCCTCCTCCTCCTCCTCCTCCTAGTAAGCAGCACGGCGCGGCGCAGCAGGCATGCCGTGCGACGTGCCCCGTGCCGCGCCGGGGTGCGCTCTGTCTCGTGCTGACTTCTGGGCTCGTGCACTGCTGCGCAGTGCAGCGGCGGGCTCGCGCCGGAGCCGATGGCTTGGCCCCGCCACGTTCGACGGACACGCCAAGGGCTCATGACGTGAAGACGTTCCGGTAGTACCGGGGGGAGGGATGTCGATGCAAAAAGAAGAGAGTGGACGGGAAGAAAAGGAAGGTTTGCCTGTGTCTTCTTCCTCCCCCCCTCCCCCTCTCCCCTTCCCCGCTCCCCACAGCGGAAGGGGAGGAACAGAGGGATGGACAGGAGGGAGGGAGACAGAGAGGAAAGAAGGGGAATGGACAGAAAGGAAGGAGCGAGGGCGCAGAGGATAATGAGGGGGCCGTGAATGGGTTCGGAGGAGTAGTAAGAGGAGGAGGAGGCGACGGAAAAGGAGAAGGAGGAGGAGGACGAGGAGGAGAAGGGTATCTCGATGCATCAGCCAAGATACTTATGTAAGGCCAAAATAAGAGCGCAACAGCCAAGATGTGTGTGTATGGCCAGCGTCACGAAGGCGGCGAAGGAGGATAACAACGGTGACGACGACTCACTGACGACGACGACGACCACAACGGCGACAGACGACGATGACGTTTCCCCGACCTGCCTCGGGGCGCGGCCTGGACAGAATTCCCAGGCAGATCCGGCTGCGGCCACGAGCACGTCCCCCCCGAAGCCCAAACAGGCCAGATCAGTCACGAGGAGGTCCGACGACTCATCCCCACGGTTTGCTGGCGTAGGTGCAAACGAGCCGAGGCAGGTCCCAGTGACCCGGTTCAAAGCCAGAATCGCGAATGCACAGGACAGGTCTCTGGACATCGGGACAGATCGTGGCAGATCCCGCGCGGACCGCGGAACCGCACCAGCTGTTCAGCCCTGCGCGGATTTGGGCTGTCGACCTTTGCGCTTCCTTGGCGCCGCTCGGACGTGCCGTGTGCATGCACTTTTTCTCGGCGAGGACCATCGAGCATCATCGTGGACCTCTGTCTACAGATATAAAAGAGACAGCGAACCAACACCAACACAGAACGAGCACGCACGGGACCGAAAACTGCACGGGGAAAGGGCGTCCGAGAGATGGCAAGCTCGCGACCCGCTCGAGCGACGGCACGGCACGAGGGCCCCCTCCCCCCCCCCCGAGGGCGGAGAGGCGCCCGGCGGTGCGCGGCGCAGCGCCAAGGGGAACGGCCGCCCGCCGCCGCCGCCGCCGCCGCCCGTCGAGGCTCGATGGCGCCCGGCCCGAAGCAGCTCCTGAGATCGAGGTCGGCTCGGGTCAGCACATCACCAACCACCAAACCACCCCAACCCAATCCGAAGGCTCAGATTTACTCTCGATTTCCAGTGGGGGGGGGGCGGGAAACATAGAAAAAACGCATGTGGAACCCTTACCCCCCCCCCCCCAACCCGAAATTCGGGTCTTCGGGTTGGGTTGGGGTGGTCTGGCAGGTAGTCAGCACATGGTCGGGGAAGCGTAAGAGTAAGTCGGGCCTGTCACTCTACAGGCGTCTTATTTCGCCCGACCCAAGCGTAAGACTCGAGTGCCAGAACACGGGCTTGCCGACGTCTTTTGACAAGCGCGTCCTGGATGTTGACGGTCCAGTTTTTCCGTGGGAGGTTTGCAGCGGGAGCCCGCGTCAAATTTCAGAGTGGGTCTCGTCATTATCATAATGGCCTCGTCATGCCAACCCGAGTCCCTCGAACCCCAGTCTTACGTCTCCCCCATATAAGATCGAGATTGAGCAAGTCCCCGTACGGTCGGACCGAGGTAGTTTTCGGGTGTCTTCGCAGTTTCTTGTCGGGCTTCCACCCTCGGGAGGCGTTCCAGCGGCTGCGCCTCTCCGAGAGCGTTCTGGCACCGGAGAGCTGAGTCATGACCCAAACATCGAATTCGGCGGCGCGCCATGGGGGTATGGTCGAGGTCGGTTCAGGGAGGGTGCCCTGAAGTTTTTCGTGCTTGTCCGATGTTCTTCAGCATCCCGGGGGAGGGTGCCCTCGAATGTTCTGCAGTGCGGCCGGCGGAGGGTCTCGTGCTCTGGAGGGGTGTTCTCCTGTCCCGTGAGAGACCAGGCGCGGGACTCACTGGGCCTGGAGTCGGTGAGGCGCCCTGGGCTCCTGCTGCCCTTCGTGGTCTCCCTGTGGTCTCCTCCTGCCCCCCCGTGGCCTCGCGCGGCCTCCCCTCGCAGCCGTCTCGCCCGCGCTGGTGCGTGCCAGTTTCGGCTCTCAGTGACCCTCGGCCCACCGCCCGCCACCGTGCCTGGGCTCTGGGTCAGCGGCCTCCTGGATGTCTCTTGCTGTCTCGTCGGAGGGCTCGTCGGGGATGCCCCTCTGGGGCTGTTCGGAGGCCTCCCGGGAGCCTCGTGGGAGCGTCTTGGGAGCCTCTTTGAGCTTCGGGGGGCCTTGTGGGGGCTTCTTGGGGCCTCTTAGGGGATTTTTTGGGGCCTCTTGGGAACCTCTTGGGGGGGTGAGCTCGAAATGTCGGTTCGTACTTCCTCTCTGGGGAGTTCTTGGGGTCCTCTTCGGCCGTCTTGGAGGCTCTAGGGCCGTTTTAGGGGTCTCTCGTGCCGTCTGGGCGCTCTATTTGCGGCTCCGAGGCCGTCTTGGGGCGATCTCTAGGGCCTCTAGAGCACCGGGCAGTCGAACAGGCAGAAACGCGAACGTCTGTCAGTGCGAGTGCTCTTGGAACCGTCTTGAAGGCGCCGTGGGCCGTCTGGAGGCCATCTTGGACGTTTTGGAGCGATCTTTCGGCGAGTCGCGGCCCTCGTGGACTGTCTGGGCGGCCTCCTGGGGCTTTGGTGGACCGTTTGGGGGCCGCCCTTGGCGGAGGGGCCGCCGCAGAGGCCCACGCGGGTCCTGCCGGGAGCGCCCAGGAACGCCCGGCAGTGCCGGGGAGAACCAGGAATGTCGTGGCCTGGGCCCTCAAGAATGGCATGAGCCTTTGGGCGCTCCACTTCGTGCTGCAGGCACGGCGCTGGATGAGTAGTCGTATGCGTACACGTACTGGTATTGGCCCTCGTGCTCGTATTCGCGTTAGCAAGAACAGCACTTGCAATAACATCCGCAGTCGCATTCTCGTTGGCATGTGTACGACTTGTGGTAAGAACATAATTTTATTTGTCGCAGTCGTCTAAGCCGTGGCATTCGCATTGTAGTAGCAGTGGTGGTGGAAGTCGCGAATGGGGTAGGCATTATGCTAGCAGTGACAGTGACTGTCGAAGTAGTAGTGTTAGTCGTCGTCGTAGTAGTAGCAGTAGTAGTAGTAGTAGTTGTTGTTGTTGTTGTAGTAGCAGTCGAAGTCGTAGTGTTTGGATTTGCAGTATTATGTTGTAGCCGTATCAATAGCAGTAGTCGTGGTCGTTGTTTGTGTAGTAGTAGTAGTAGTAGTATTATTAGTAGTAGTAGTAGTAGCAGCAGCAGGAGTAGGAGTAGGAGTAGTAGTAGTAGTAACAGCCGTGGTAGCAGTAGTATTGGTATTAGTAGTAGTCGTAGTCGTGGTCATGGTAGTAATAGTCGTAGTAGTAGTAGTAGTAGTAGTAGTAGTAGTAGTAGTAGTAGTAGTAGTAGTAGTAGTAGTAGTAGTAGTAGTAGTAGCAGTCGTAGTAGTAGTAGCAGTAGTAGTAGTAGTAGTCGTAGTCGTCGTCGTAGAAGAAGAAGTAGCAGTGGCTGTAGTAGCAGTAGTTGTCGTAGTCGTAGTCGTAGCAGTAGTAGTAGTAGTAGCAGTAGTAGTAGTAGTAGTAGTGGCAGTAGTAGTAGGGTTATAGTAGTAGTCGTAACCGTAAAAGTCGTACTACTTTTTAGTATGCGTAGGAGTAGTTGTCGTAGTATTAGAAGTGGTACGGGTTGTAGTCTTAGTAGTAGTAGTAGTAGTAGTAGTAGTAGTAGTAGTAGTAGTAGTAGTAGTAGTAGTAGTCGGTAGTAGTAGTCGGTAGTAGTAGTAGTAGTAGTAGTAGTAGTAGTAGTAGTAGTAGTAGTAGTAGTAGTGGTACGGGTTGTAGTAACACCTAGTAGTAGTAGTAGTAGTAGTAGTAGTAGGAGTAGAAGTAGTAGTAGTAGTAGTAGTAGTAGCAGTAGTCGTCGTAGCCATAGTCGTAGTAGTAGTAGTAGTAGTAGTAGTAGTAGCAGTAGGAGTTGTAATACTATCAGTCCTCGTGGTAATTGTGGCAATAGTCGTAGTCGTAGTCGTAGTCGTAGTAGTAGTAGTAGTAGTAGTAGTAGTCGTCGTCGTCGTCGTAGTAGTAGTAGTAGTAATAGTAGTAGTACTAATAGTAGTAGTAGTAGTAGTAGTAGTAGTAGTAGTAGTAGTAGTAGTATGTGGAGTAGTAGTGTGATTTGTAGTAGTAGTAGTAGTAGTCGTCGTAGTAGTAGTAGTAGTATCGTAGCACTATAAGGAGTAGTAGTAGTAGTAGTGGTAGTAGTAGTAGTAGTAGTGGTAGTAGTAGTAGTAGTACTAGTAGTAGTGGTGATGGTAGTGGTGGTAGTCGTAGTCAAAGCAGCAGTAGTAATATTATTAACAGTATTATTATTAGTAGTAGTATTAGTGGTAGCAGTGTAGTAGTAGTCGTAGTAGTAGTAGTAGTAGTCGTAGTCGTAGTACCAGTAGTCATGGTAGCAGTAATCGTAGGGTTCGTAGGAGTCGTATTAGTACCATTTTCAGTCGTAGTGACAATGCTGGATTTGTAAATGGTAGTCGCGGGAACAGTCCTAGTAGTAGTAGTAGTAGTAGTAGTAGTAGTAGTAGTATTAGTAGTCGTAGTCGTAGTCGTAGTAGTAGTAGTAGTAGTAGTAGTAGTAGTCGTAGTCGTAGTAGTAGTCCTAGTCGTAGTCGTAGTCGTAGCCGTAGTCGTCTTAGTAGTACCAGTAGTCTTAGCCGTATTATTATTATTATGAGTAGTAGTAGTAGTCGTCGTCGTCGTCGTCGTCGTCGTCGTCGTCGTCGTCGTCGTCGTCGTCGTCGTAGTCGTAGTCGGCGCTGCAGTTGCAGTCGTAGTGGTAGTGTAGTAGTAGCAGTAGTAGTAGTAGTAGTGGCATTTGTAGTAGTAGCAGTAGTTGTACTCGTAGTAGTCGCCGTCGTAGCAGTAGTAGTAATAGTAGTCGTAGTCGTAGTAGTAGTAGTAGTAGTAGTAGTAGTAGTAGTAGTAGTAGTAGTAGTAGTAGTAGTAGTAGTAGTAGTAGTAGTGGTAGTAGTGGTAGTAGTAGTGTTAGTTGTAGCTTTGGGGTTGTTTGATAGTCCCTGTTTTTTTCTTTTGCGTTGCCATCTCTCACTTATGCAGCTACTTGTTAGCTTCGATGTTTTGCGTGTGATGCATACCCTTGGTGGTTTGCTGCGTTGCCTCACTGCCGTGCTGTCGTGAATTGCCCGAGCACGTTGAATGATGAGAAGGAGGAGGGCGATGGGGGGATGCTTACGGGCAGGGGCAGTCGGAGACAACAGCACCAAAACCATTGAAACATGAATCCGTCGCCATTTTGGCTCAAGCCGATCGGAACCCCAAGACGGATTTCTTCAGCGCTGCCAGATTCAGCCGTGCCTTCCAGTCAGATACTTCTTGATGGCCGCCGACTTTGGCGATTCGTCCATGCTCGGGTCTACGCTTGGGGCGCGCGTGGAGACGTTGATAGAGGACGTAATCAAGGTCGCCCCAGCGTTCATGAGCTCGACTTTGTTGTCGGCGGGCGACACGAAGGAGGGCAAGTTGCGGCCAGCATCAGATCGCCGACCAGACCCAGTGCTTGTTCTGGGCTGGGGCCCACCGCCTCTCGATGCCCAAAAGGTAGGCTTACTGGGCGAGCGAACTCCCGGATCCCCCATCCAAGACCGCCGTGTTCGACATAGTCGAATAATATTCAGTCGAGACTGTGGAGGGCGTAGACGACTACTCCATCGCCTCGCCAACCGTCTCGACTGCGGGGCCCCATCTCGGCATCTATCATTATGGGGCCGCGCGCGACAGGATGGCGGGGGCATGGCAGTGCCATTTTGACTCCCGTGGAATGGGCCCTGCCCCTCTTGTCGGGCAACACGGACCACCTCTTCGAACTCTCGCCTCGCGAGAAATTGCCGGGCGCATTCTTGGGGGCGGCGCGTTGGGCGTCGTTCGTCACGAAGGGGAAGAACTACATCCGCGGCTTCGCGGTAAACGACGCCGACGAACACCTCGCCTTGAACTTGCCGCTGGCGCGGGGGA